ATTTTTTTTTTTTTTTTTTTTTAAATCATGTGGCTTCTACCTTGCATAAGGTGTATGCCACCAAAATTTTGGCTCATTTGAGCCAGTAAAAAATAAAATAAAAAAAATCTTCGAAGTTTCTAATCCCCACCTATACCCCTCCTATCCCCACCAAAACCCCTCGTACCCCCCCCTCCCACCCCAAATAGCACCCTATCACCAAATGCTCAGAAAATTCTGATTTTTTTTATGGGGGGTCTCTATGGCATGCGCAACACTGTCATTTTTATTTTTTTTTCCTAATGCCAAAAAGTGGTTGTCCGGGATCCCGGACAACCCCCCTACCGGACGGTTGGGGGAGACGTCCGGCCGAGACGTCCGGCCATCGGACGACTGGTAACCTAGCTTTATACCAAACAGAAAGCAATATGCGAGGGCCCACTAGGCCCTTCATCGTTCCCAACGAAGAAACCCCCAAATTCCCATGGGCCACTGAGTTACGTCATCTAATTTGTCCTTACCTGGCATCATGTCATACTGTAGCCAATTCCCGCTGGTCCCGCTCAAATGCTCAGTGATTTGTGTCCAGCAGCGTCGATTTCCTCAGATTCCATGGGCTGCAGGGGTGCGTCATCTATGTTGTCCTTCCTTGTCATTATGCCATACTGTAGGCAGTTTCCCCAGGTCCGGTACATATCCAGACCCAGTTCCGCTTAATATCCACACCATGCTCGGTAACTCGTAGTCTAAGTACAATGTACCTGATGCATCGATTTTCAGCGTCCCTTCAAACCTAGGAAGAGTCTCACGCTCGGCCGGTCCTGCCCGGCCGGGCACCCGGGCGTGCCAGAAAAAAAAAGTTTTTTTTTTTTTTTTTTTTTTGTTTTCTGCGCTCTCCCAGAGGACTCCAAATCCGGGCTCATTTATGGGGTTCCCCGTATGCCTACAAGTAGTAGTAGTGGTAGGTAGGTAGTGTGAGGTGTTGAGAGAAGAATATAGTTTTAATAAGGAAAAAAAAAAAAAAAATCCGGGCTCATTTCGTTTTTTGCGAGTTGGCTGTCAAAGGGGGGGGAGGGGAGTATAAATTGGTTTTAAACTTTGAAGTAGGATATGGGCGATGACCCGTAAGCAGTCTGAGCGGTGAGGAGTAGGACTGTGTGACGCGCATTGCCGCGTTCCGCGAGATTAAAACTCCAGAATGCATTAGTACTTTGTGTACTCTCACAGAGAGGCAAACACACGAATAGAGATCCCAGGTGCAGTCTCCCCATTCCAATTCTGCCTGCTTCCTCGCTTTGGAGTGACTGCAGTGACAGATTGATAATAAAATGCTAGTCATAATAAGCAACATCATGGTGTTCAGCTGGAAAAAGACAACGTGGGAGGAAGAGGAATAGGAACGGGTGTGTAAAACAGTGTAAGAATTTTCAAGTAAACGTAAACAGCAGCATGCTGGTAGGCAGAACAAAGAGAACACAGGAGGAAGAGGAATGTGACAGATTCATAAGAAAATACTAGCAATAATAAAGAGTGGCATGGTGTTAAACTGGACGAAGAGAAAACACCTTAGGAAGGAGGACACCACAACGGAACATACAGGGCCACAGGAGCACAAGAATGAGTAATAGGAGTAGATAGCAGTAGGAGTTGAAGTGCTGGTAGCAGGAGTAGGAGTAGGACAAGGCAGAGGTCAAGCTGGAGGCAGAGCACGGCACTTACTCTGACTGTGCATGTTAGCAGATCTGTTGACTTGGCTGATCCAAGCAGTGATGGGCACATTCTTGAAAGCTGGCTGATTAGTGCAAGGCACCAACTCGGTCGATTGGCACATTGGCACAGAATATCATGAGCAAATACTCGCATTGCCTGCCAAGAAGCGTAATAAACAAGACACAGACACGCTGCTGCAGACATTGGAATGCTGGCCATTCTTTCCAAAACTAGTGACCATTTCGGCATCCCATAAAAAGAGAACAGAAAGAGAAGAGAGAAAGACTAATGATTCATCAATATACGATAGACTCACATGCCGCTATCAAGACAATTGGACACATAATGATGCTAAGGTACAGCCCAAGTGACTGCTGTAGCCCTTAGCAAAGGGACCATTTACAACTACCCAACGCACACAGCATGAGGACACAGTTGTATTGACTACAGCCNTTGACTACAGCCCAAGTGACTGCTGTAGCCCTTAGCAAAGGGACCATTTACAACTACCCAACGCACACAGCATGAGGACACAGTTGTATTGACTATCAGAATGAGAACACGAGCCGAGAGCGTGCATACGACAAACAGAGAAAAATCTCCAAACCATCAAAAGCACACGTTCACACAACCACATCAAACAAATGGAGTGTCCAAGAGGCTTGTGAAGCCAATAGTAGAGAAACATTTAGGACCACAACAACGGGTATGTGAGCATAAAACTTGCATAAAGTACATCTGTCAACCCATTAAGACCACACATTGGGCCTCGCTCCACTACTCTGCACACACACAAAAGACAAAATATATGGCAGTGTATCTTTCCATGTTCTAGCAGAAGATTCATTCTCATTTTGCACATTTGGCGAGTAGTGGAGCGAGGCCCATTCACTCAATCATGCCTATGAGCCAAGGAATACACACTCATGGCCGCACATGCAAACTTACTACATACTCGACTTTGTAAGGAAACATTTTGGAGCCGTCTCAAATGACCAGTCCAACCAAGCCTCGTTTTTTTCCGTTGCACTGTGCTACCCGAGCCTGGAAAATACAAACCACCACGGGCACGCTCTTGCCAGGCACCTCAAGCCTGGACCGTGATTTTGCACCATGTTCGCCAGATCGTCGGAACAAGGTAGCTGGGCCACAGACTGGTAGTTGCACCATGTTTGCCAGATCGCCGGAACAAGGTAGGTGGGCCACATACTGGTAGTCTAACAAAAGAAAATCCTATATCCCATTCTGTTCCTGACTTTCTTTGCTAGAGAAGAGTCAGAAGGCAAAAAAAGCCTGGACCGTGATTTTGCACCATGTTTGCCAGATCGTCGGAACAAGGTAGCTGGGCCACAGACTGGTAGTTGCACCATGTTTGCGAGATCGCCGGAACAAGGTAGGTGGGCCACAGACTGGTAGTTTAACAAAAGAAAATCCTATATCCCGTTCTGTTCCTGACTTTCTTTGCTAGAGAAGATTGAGAAGGCAAAAAGCGAAGCTGACAGCAATAGTAAAATATGACTTGGGGACCACTGTACGTTACCATGGTCACTGTCCGGACGTCCGCACAGTGGTCTGTGTCCGGACGTCAAGGTCCAGATGGTGTCCGGAAAATTTACAAACATATATTCATACCGGAGAACTAACTTTTCAAACAAAATGAAAAATCTTTTTTTTTTTTTTTTTTTTTTAACAGGGCCTTATGGTCCTGGCTCCTTCTATTCTGGGGAGCATCAGTCCGGTTCCTATTCCCCCGGCAAGTCAATAAATATTTTACAATGGAAAGTACACACGCTTCCTTCCGTTAGGCCGAAGGACCCCTGATCAGCATTGATTGCTCCATCTTGGTGGAGGATTGACTGTCAGCTTGCCATGACCCGCTCTTCCCTCTCAGACCTGGTCACCAGGCCTGTCAGATAGTGCTACTCTTCCTAGAAAGAGCTCGGTCGTTGTTCCTGTTTCTCTGATTCTTCCCTGCTCAGCTTCCCTGCCCATACTTCCTACTATCTCTGTCCCAATTCTTTATCCCCCCATCCTTAAACACTAAACCCTCAACCTGTGTACCCCTGCTCCGAACTTCCTTGGAGTCGACTACAAAATGAAAAATCTGAAAAGCAGTGAAAACAAGATGTGCAGCATAATAATACAAAAAATATTTTGGGTGAGGGTCATCTCAAAATTTGTAGCCAAATCCAGGGGGGGTGGGAAACGAAATTTGGGAGGAGAGAGGGGGGGTACCCCTTGTCCGGATCAATCCGGACACATCCGGACGCCCAGATGCCATTCGTCCGGGGTTCAGGCCCATGGTAACTGTGTGTGTCAGTTCTAGATCTGCATGCTTGCTTCTTTCTGCACTATGCTGTACGCCATGTAAATGCCAAGAAAACGAGATCTGCACACACATATACTGATTCAACTCCATAAGATTAGCGAAACAAACACAGGAGCTACTGCTAAACGGAATTATGTCTGTTTGGCATGTCCTCTTCAACTCAGCGAAGGAGTCTTTGACAACTATTGTTATAACCAGCATGGAACTGACCTCGATTTGGTGCTGCATGAGGTAAATTTCTGCAACCACCTGACAAACCCACACTGATTCCTTTTCTGTCAACAGGTCATGACAAGACCCCGTGCTCCTGTCCCTATCAGGATTCTTCATTCTCCCAAACCCCGCATCTTCATCAGCATTGATTGACACCCAGTTATCAAAAGCCCCTTGGAATGCCTCTTTTAGCTCCTTTGAAGGTTTCCAACTCCCAATCGAAGCCGGCAACTGTCGCCCGTATATAGACAAAGCTTTTAGCCGCTGAACCATCATGTGCAGCCAAGGTGAGTTACCATCGTCCACGAACTGCTTTGCAGACTTCTCTGATGAATCTTTCAATGAATCTCCCAGGAAGGCATCTCCACTGCCAGTTGTAAAAACTGCAATACAAACCATGTCGGGCATTGTTGCCAGCACACATCAACAATCACAGGATCAATCAAAATCACTAACGCATAACAGCATGCACGAAAACAAACAAACACACACAAGATGCCCCACCTGACCCCACCTACCCCACCCACCCACACACGCCAGCGCGCAGGGCGCACGCAAACGCACCCAGCACCCCACACACCCACAGCTCCGCACATCAAAGCTATTAGCCTCTGAACCATCATGTGCAGCCAAGGTGAGTTCACATTGTCCACAAACTGCTTCGCAGACTTCTCTGATGAATCTTTAGGTGCATCTCCCAGGAAGGCATCTCCACTGCCTGTTGTAAAAACAACAATACATACCATGCCGGGCATTGTTGCCAGCACATATTAGAGCACGTCCCGCCAATGTCGAAAATTCAATTCCCCGGGACCCCCACTTTTGCCCCAGGTTAACACCCCCAACACTGAAAAGTGCATTTTGGGATTGTTTTTTTTTTTGTTTTTTTTTTCCGCCCTGTTTTATTTTTGGTCAAGCTCTGCGTGTGGCAAGTTTGGTGTTTGTTGGGGTCTTGGAGATGACTGTTTTGGCCATCACTGAAAATCCTAAAATACTGAAAAGAGCTAGCTTTCCCCCGGGCGCCACGCCCGCGTAGGGACCTCGCCCGGAGTACCACGGGCATGAAAAGTCCTCCGAAATGTTTTTTTTTTTTTTTTTTTTTTTTTGGGTCTGCAGGGCCCTGCTGCGCTTTCCCAGTACTCCCCATTCAGTGTGTCGGGGAGGAGGTGGGGGGGAGGGGGAGGGGGTGCAGGAGCGGGCTAGATTAGGGGTTGTCCATTTTGCAGGAGGGGGGAGGGAGACCATGGCAGAGGAAGAAAGATTGATGTGGAGGAAGGAGAGAAGTACAGTATGTGGAGGGAGGTTTACTGTTACGTGCTGAGCCTGCACACGGGCCCCATTTGGGGGCCCAACGGTTCTTGGGGACCCCCAGGCCGGACGCACTTCAGGCGCGCGCCCTGGAGGCCCACGTCCGGCCTAAGGCCCGAAGGTTTCAATTTGAGACAGCATTTATTTATTTATTTATTTATTTTAATATTTATTTATTTATCTGTGAAAGGAAAATGAGCAATAGCAAAATGGCAGACTCCCGATTGTAAAATCACATTGAAAGCCAAGTGAAACGGTTTTCACCTCTTTGCAGTAGCAGACGCAGATCCCAGGGTTCGATCCGTAGTCCTCACCTTACCTGTGTACAGTACCCGTAGAGTTGAACCCACGACCTGTGTATTAGTAACAGTCGGTAGGCTGTCGTAGGGTCCATAGGAAGTCTTAGCGAAGTCTAGAAGTCCTGGCTGTAGCCTTCTAGAAGGTCAGCAAGTGGGCAAGTGGGCAAGTGGTGAGTCAAGTGGTGGACTAAACTGCAGTGCAATTGCAGTACGACCCCGGTAGGTTAGCAGTGAGTCCCCACTCAGTCAGCGGTAAGGTCCAGTCAGTCCCAGTCCGTTCCAGCAAGTACCACGAGGGACTGTGAGCACCAAGGGCCGATGGCAACGGGCAGACCAACGAGTTTCAGAAGTATAAATCAAGAGCCAGCGCCCAGCCATGCATTCATTCCTGTGTGAGCTATGCGGAAGCACTGCCACAGCGACTTGTGCAAGGAGGTCTGCAGTGAGCCCGGAGCAGAAGTGGGCGAGAGAGAAGGAGCGTAGCATAGCGATAGGGTAGTTGCGGCCATAGCCGCCATGTAGCAAGTGTGTGTGTGTGTGTGTGTGAGTTCAGAGAGTCGCGTGTGGGATATCCAGGGTGATCCAGTGTATGCGAACAGAGAGTTGTTTGGGCGCTGAGTCGCCATAGCCACCGGAAGTGAACTCTTATCTGGGTTGTCATATCTCTGAGTTTTGAGTGGGCGCATGTCGCCAGTTTGCTGCGCTACTGTTTGCATGCATATAAAGTGTGAATCAGAACGAGTCTGATTGCATTGGCATCGGAGCTGGTACCCGCTATTCCATGCGCACCGTCGTGTGCAGGGCCTGATGCGCCATAGCTGAGGTGGCCGCCAGAAGAAGAAGTCCACCATAGCGGACCTGGAGGTTGGAGAAGCCGCCGCGCACCTGCAAGAAGACCACGACGAAGAAGAAGACCGAGAGAGAGAGAGAGAGAGAGAGAGAGAGAGAGAGAGAGAGAGAGAGAGAGAGAGAGAGAGAGAGAGAGAGAGAGAGAGAGAGAGAGAGAGAGAGAGAGAGAGAGAGAGAGATTGCTACGTGCCTGTTGCGCTGAAGATACCGCTACGGCGAGAGAGAGAGATGAGCGATACAAGTTTGGCTGTTACGTACCTGTGAAGTGTGCCGTGCAGTTCCACGAAGAAGAAGATAGCGGCCATAGCCGCGAAGTGTCACCACGGAGTAACGAAGGAGGGTTAGAGAGGACAGAGGGGAAGAGACCGAGCAGAGTGAGGGAAGTCATAGCCGAGAGGTGCAGAGAGAGCCGATCAAAAAAAAAAAAAAAAAAAAAGAGAAAGAAGACAGCAGGGTGAAAGGAGGCGAGGAAGGTGAAGAGAAGGAGAAGGTTGGTGAGGAGAAGAAAAGCCGGCAGCCATAGCTGACCAAGGAGTTGACTGGAGGTGTTGACCGGGAGTTGACCGGCGTTTACCGGGGGTTGACCAGAGCTGACCGGGAGTTGACCGGGGGTTGACCACAGCATTCACCGGCATTGACCAAGGTGTTGACCAAGACTTTGACCAAGCTGGAGCCGATAAAATCTAGCCAAGCCTTCAGCCTATCCCTCGCCCTATGGATGTGCACATACCTTGTGGTACTTGCTGAAGTCAAGTCTGTCTGTCTATTCTTTCAGCATCGAGTCTCTTCTGTCTAGGTGATAGTACTTTGTGGATGAAGGATAGGGCCTTGTTGACCAAACCCACACGGGCTGAGTAGGGCTAAAGACTGTGTCTGACGACTCGACTGTCCCGGAGGCCTAACCCTCCCAAGGACGGGTACTGACCGGCGGGCTGCTCGGTGTGGCACGGTAGGCCCAAAATCCGAGTTGTGGGCTGCACAACAGGCCATCTAAGTGTTGAGAGACCTGCTGATCGCGTCGTCCTGTTCGAACCGCTGCCCAGGATAGACGATCTTCTAGATCGGGTGCAGGGTTGCAAGTATTTTTCTAAGATAGATTTGAAGTCCGGATACCATCAGATAGAAGTCCATCCTGATGACCAGTATACGACTGCGTTCCGGACCAGGTATGGGCACTACGAGTTTATAGTGATGCCCTTTGGACTGACCAATGCGCCAGCCACCTTTCAGCGTTGCATGAACGATCTGTTTCGACCGTGGTTAGATAGATTTGTTGTAGTTTATTTAGATGGATATCTTAGTTTTCAGCAAGACCCTCCAAGAGCATCAGGGTCATTTGAGGCAGGTCTTGGAGAAGCTAAGAGAGGCTAACTTCAAGACCAACGCAAAGAAGTGCGAGTGGGCCAAGACGCAAGTCCTGTACTTGGGCCACATATTAGACGGAGACGGTGTTAAGCCAGAGGACAGCAAAATAGCGGCGATTAGAGACTGGTCGACGCCCCGCACATTGACAGAATTGCGGTCGTTCCTGGGCCTAGCTAACTACTATAGGAAGTTCGTGAGGAACTTCTCCACTATCGCCGCTCCCTTGCGCAGGTTGCTAAAGAAGGAGGCAATCTGGCAATGGGACAAAGACTGTACATCTGCGCTAAAGCGCGCAGTCCCGCGACTTTAATGAGTAAACCACCCTCCAGCGCCAATGACAAAGAAAAGGCAGCAGCAGCAGGTGAGAAAGATGGTCGCGAAGCAAATGGTGCAGCCGATCAAAACAGTGAAGCGCCTCGCCGATAGCCGAAGAAAAACACCCTCCGAAAGGCACGCGACAAAAAGCAAAAAGCGTGCAAGCTATGGCGAGATTGGGAAGCAAGGCGAGGAGGAGGAGGAGCAAGAACGAGACGCTTCGTGCAGGCGCAGGGGCAGGCTAGCTAGAGCAGGTTCGGCGGGGCAGGTAGAGGCAGTATGCATGATGCCTGGCTTTGGAGTGCTCAGGCATCGGGGTATGAACACAAAGTCGGGAGGGTGCTGTTCCCCCGCAACGTTACCACTTCCTCCTCGTCCCGCTGCTCCTCTTCCAGGTCCCAGTCCGCGAAGAAGTCCATATCGCCCGCTGATCCACCCAACCTTCACAATCGCGGAAAAAAACGGTCGCCCCGTTGGTCGTCCGCTGGTCGCACGGTGGTCTGATGAATAGAACCCCTGCGTTCTGTTTAGATATAGCTGCGATGCGTGCTCCCGAACTACAGCCTTCGGATACAAGTTATCGCTGCTATCCACCCGCCTATACATGCCTATCCTACGTTCAAGAAAAAAAGGAGGAAAAAGGAAAAAAGAAAAGAAAGAAAAAAGAAAACGAAAAAGAAAAGAAGAGAAGAAAGTAGAAAGAAGAAAAAAAAAAGAGAAAAAAAAAAGAAAGAAAAAAGAAAAAAGGAAAAGAAAGAAAAGGGAAGGACACAGTAAAAGAGCGGGAAAAAGGAAAAAGGAAAAAGGAAAAACGAAAAAACGGAAATAGTAGGAAAAAGTAGGAAAAAAGGAGGAAAAATGAAAAGATGAAAAAACTAAAATAACCGAAAAGACGATAGGGGCGGAACAGGCCAATCAAAAAACTGGATCGCGAAACTAAGACCAACGGATGGTCGACCTATGTTCCCAAAGGTCTCTGTACCCTGCCAGTTATTCGTCATGATCCGAGAGCAGGCCGCTCCCTCGATCTTCTAGTGGCGCCCGGGGGTTCAGTTTATTCGGTCAAGGCCGTGCTACCCTGCCACTCCATTGATTCAATCGACGATGAAACGAAAAAAAGGGGGGAAACAAACGGAAAAAAGGTAAAAAGGAAAAAAAGAAAAAAGGAAAAAAGGAAAAAAAGAAAAAAAGGAAAAAAGGGGGGGGGAACAGAAACAAGGAGGAGTGTATGCATTTATCCGAAGAGCCTTTTCGCCTTGTGAGTCTGCATATCCAGCTCCTGTTGTCCCTTCGCTCCTTCGCTTCTTACCTGTATGCGTGTGTGTGTGTGTGTGTGTGTGTGTGGGTCCCTCCTGGTTCCCTCCGGGGAATGAGCAGGTCCGAGGGGGCGGTTGCCCGGAGAACAGCCGGCCCTCTCGGCCCAGTCGTCCCCCGGACACCAAATACACATACGCACATACACAGACACATCCACGCACACGGAGGGTACAATTAGTCCGTGAACCCATACATATCAGACAGTGCTTCTCTGACCGTGTGCACGGAAACCCTGCCACCCTGGTAGCGATATGCGTTCCGTAGAGTCTTCCTAACCACTCCCCAACAAGCATCCCTGGCGAAACCGTTGTCCCTCATCGTGGTTACCACCTTGTTAATCTGCATGGCCGCATCACTAGGTTCGGAGCATAGTAACAAGATCTGCGCGACCTGGGCCGTGATAATCTGCAACGCTTTCTTGGCACTTGTTAGACTTGTATTTCATGAATCTGCATGGGGCAAACCCCACTCCTTCTCGCTTGTCATGTCTGGAGGTAATGTGCACGCACGTTTCCGGAGAGGTGATTGCGATGGTCACGCTAAGAAAGTTGGCTCTTCGGCCATACCCATCCACGACAACTTCAGTGTTTTCCTTGATCTCGATGTATTCGTCCGGATAGATCCAGCAAGGGTCGTTCTCCTCCCTGTCCTCTCTCTTCCGCATGAAGCTCCCGATGATGGTGTTGTTGATCGCGCCCAAGTCGTCGATATATCTGAAGGTGTCCGAGAAGTACGGGATCAGATGCGCATTTCCGGTATCCGCCAACCTCATCATAGCATGGTATTCATACTTGAAGAAGTATATATCGCACCAAATTGGGGAGCAGGCCAGGCCCATGGGGATACCCCTGACTTGCCTCCACACATAGTCCCCCATACGTAGCATATTGTTGGGGATGCACCACTCAGTGAGCCAGTAAACATCCTCTTCCCTGAACAGCATCGAATCCATCCCTTCCGCCTGATCGCCATCCACCCAGGAGGGCCAGAACCTGCCACCATCCCCCACCCTGATTCGAATGATGTGGGCCAAGCTCCTCTCCCTTCGTACTCGCATCGCACTTTGCACGTAGAATTTCACCGCCGCTGGCAGGCTATCTCCCGAGCTGTCTGTGGGGATCGTTTCAAAACATCTGGTGATGTTCGCCGTGAAGATGGAAAAGATCTTCTCCGATAGGTTCGCATAGAACTCCCCTACCGAGGCTATCGACCACCATAGGTTCGGCCTTACCCCATATTGCTCCTGCACCTCCAACTCCTCTCCTGACAGAATGTTTGTACTAGGGGGAGAAGAAACCGGAGCAGACACGCACACAGATCTGCTGTCGAAGAGACGACTATCCCGACCGTGTTCGTGATCCAACGGAATGTGTCCTTGTGCGCCTTGAACACCATCATCAGGTAAGGGAGTGCAGGTGGTGCTGGTGGCAACGCAGGCATGGTCGAAAGTTCACCTTGTATCCGTGCGATGACCGAAGCAGCGGGGGCGGCGATGCTACGAAACTCAGGTTTGGACAGCCTATGAATTTCCGGATGAAGTTCTTGCAGACGAAGGCAGGAGTGTTCGGGGCTTTATCCGTCAGGCAGATGAGAAATCGGCCTGTGAGGAACTCCAGTTCCCGCTTGACGGTCGGATGCACGAATGGCTCCGCGGTTACGTGTCTGTGTTGCTCCTTGTACCTCGTCATCCTCGCCCTTGCCTTCTTAAGGATTATCCTCCGTAAAAATGATTGTGTGGACGTCGTGAGTTCCCGGAACTCTAGTATCGTCGCCATGAGCCTGTCCAGGAACCCGGCCACTTCAATCTCCGCCTCGTCTACGTCCAGGGTCATACAGGGGATATGGTTCAGTCCCGAGTTGATGATACCCTGGAGAACGGGATTGTCCGTGATCGATGAGTCCAACGTGATCACATGCGTGTGTCCCTCGCATTGGAGTAGGTTGATCGAAGCGTTGCTGCGCATGTCCGTGTACCTGCGAGATCTGCATAAACACTGCTCCGGATCATAGGCCTCCAACCATTGCGTTATGTCAAAATCGCAGAAGACCTCCGCAGGCCTGCACAATCTGGACGCGATACTGGTGTTGCATGTCCAGCCGATCATGGCGCGTTCTAGCCACGTCGTCGTTTCATCCCCCACTATCCTCGCCAAGATCTCGTTGATCATCCTCCTAATGGAGAGTGGCTCCATCACCCTGCTAGTGTACCTTAGTTGTAGGAATACATCGCAATCCGACCTCTGCCTCTTCCAGGATCTCCATCCGGTTGGCAACGTGGTCATATGCCCCGCGGTGTTGAAGTTGGTACCTGGGTCCTGCCTTGCGAAGGTCACAATCACAGGATAGGGGTCATGTCGGATGGGATAGTGAATCTCAGAGGAACGATGGGAGAGCGGGAAAAGCCAGGGAGAGAAGAACGAGATCAGAGGACCGGGGGTAGGAGAGAGAGAGAGGAAACGAAAAAGGAGAGAGGACAAAGGAAAAAGAAAAAAAAGCGAAAAAAAGGAAAAGAAAAAGAAAAAGAAAAAGAGGAAGGAAGTCCCGGCCATAATTCCTCTTACTTCCCTTTTTCCGGGGGGGTCAGGTACGCGCCGGTCGCGCGCTGGTGGCGGCGCCCGTGCGTGTACTGCCCCTGCCTCTTCTGCCCTTCTTCTTGCCCCTACCGGTTCATGTACGCGTCGACTGCGCTGAATTCTCCGGCGAAAGGAGGATGACGGGTGGCGGAGTCAGTCCTCTAATCACCATCATTGGTTGCTGTGTGAGTGGGGAGGTAAAGGTATGGGCCCCCGCCGCTTGCGACGGTGCAGGAAGTGGGTTTGTGGTGCGCATACCGCGGAGGTGCTCCCCGCAAGCGGTCTGTTGCATGCCGGTAACCAGTTTTGTGGGTTGCGGATGTGTAGGGGCGATCGAAGAGGGAGGAGGGGGAGGGGGAGGTGGAGGTGGAGGGGGAGGGGGGGAGTAGGAAGAGGAGGGGGGCGAAGGAGGAGGAGGTGCAGGCGGAGGGGGAGCGTCCGAAATCGGAGTGACCTGGCGGAAGTTGAGCGTGGTCTGGCCCGGTATCTGCGCATTCACGTTTCTCTTTCGACCGCCGCACGCGGGGAGCTGAGCGGGAATCTCGTAGGCTTCTCGAGGATCCGTGTGGGGAGCATAACTCGCGCGAGTAGGGCGGGAATCGGGTGGTTCCATAAGCGGTCATCTATCAGCATGCCCTCCGTGTTGAGAGTAGCGTCCTTCTTGAGTTCCCTTACATAGCCCATCATCAGATCCCTAATAAAGTGAAACCCGATGACAGCAAGCACTCCTTCCCTCCACTTGGTTCTGAGGTAGTGGATCAGCATCGAAGTTCTGATCTTTATCGAGGACATGTCTGGGAATAACACGTCTGGGTGCGCAAGTAGGAACCACAGGGCATGGTCAAACCACAGCGGGGTGTCCCCGCAGTCCCTGTTCTTCTCCCTCTTGCATTTGCACTTGAGATAGGGTCTTCCTACACTCCAAATCTTTCTCATGTTCCTGAGATCTAACTTATCCTGCTGCCTGATCGCTTTCTGCCACATCCCGGAACTTGTTTCCCCGCACTTGTCTGGGTCAAAAGCACGCATGGGTGGGAACTTAAGATCCTGGGGATCCAGCGGGGGGACCCTCCCCGAGAATTTTAGCTTACCTTTCAATACCTGAGCCCTACATTCCTTCACTTGTGCTGTCGTGACATTGCCTAGGAACTGAAGTGCTCTGATGGAGATTGGTGCGACATGGTTAAAGGTCTCCATCTTCCAGATTGCATGTCGGAATCCAGTGGACATGTGTTCCACCCAGTAGGTGGAAGCCAGGGGGGCGAATGTCGTGTACCGGTCCCGTTCTGAGGCACCGCCACCCGCCTAGCTGCCCGTGAGGGCCGTGAGGGGGGAGTTTCTGATGGTGGTTGCAATGGCCGCGATGGCTCGTTCCATCTCTTCCCTTTCTTCTGCTTCGATCGCAAGATCGTCGCATTTCGTAACCCGACTGCCCTCCGCGACAGGTGATGCTTCTCCCCGTGTTTCGGGGACCCGCCCTTCCAGATGCGAGTCATCTACACCCCATATTTTGAGGAGGATTCGTTCAACCTTTGCAGATCTCCCCCCCAGTTCCCTACATTCCCTAGCGTACTCCGGCTTCCTTAACTCCAGTCGCTCACATAACACCCCCAACTCATCATCAAATTCCTCCTTACTACGATCCCAGGCTCCAGCGAGAACAGCAAGGTCACTGAAGCAGAGCATTTCGAAGAAATGGGGGAAGCGTCCGGTGTCCCAGGCGCTTTTAATCGCGTCCATGACCCCAGGGGTGACGCAAGTCATCAAGGCAGAGACTAGCATTTTTTTTTTGAAATGCCACTTCACCCAACCCACCCAAAATTTTCTTAGTACATGCAACCCTTAAAAAAAAAAAAAAAAAAA